CTACTACTAATACTAATACTACTAATGCAAAAAAAAAAAAAGAAAAAAATGAAAGAAAAGGAAAATATGGTACCGAGAAATGTTGTCATATATAATAATTGGGCATGGCTTAGATTTGATCTCCGGGCGAGGTTTTTACTTTGTAGTATAGTGGTAAAAACATCAAACAAACTTCTCTGTGATAAAAAGTCATGAGTTTGAATCACACAAGATTTTTTATTTATTTTTAATCTGAGTTTTAATAGATTAACAGCCTGTGTAACGTTAAGATTAAAAACAAGTAAAAATTAAGACAACAGTAAATGAATAATGAATTTGTTTATAAAAATGTTGGGCAACCTCTTATTGGCCAATGATCAGCAAGTATAAACTACACTTTACTAGGTAAATTTCTTTGTTCTGACAGCTATAGACGTGTTAGCATTGTTGAAAGTTTATTTAGATTAATAAATACTTCGATGTGCATATGTGTCATAAAACAGTTTCAAACTGATGAAAATAACCACTAAAAGGGAGCAAATACTTAAGCAAGAACTGTAGTTGATTTGTTTATTATTTAAAAGTTTATTTACATATATCCATAGTGAAATATCTAAAGAATTAATGGCTTTTCTTTTTTTAATCCGACATATTTTTATTACTTCAAATATTATTTCTTTAAAGGATAACCGTATTTGAGTAGACGCTCTGTTTAATTTAAACAGTATTTATTTCGGCTACCTGCCTGCCTACTCGACAAAAATTAATAAAGAAAATGTGACCTAAACAGAACATTATTTTATTGTAAAGCTCGTCGTAGTTGACCGGTAAAAGCACGGTGGATCATACATACATACATACATATTAGTTACTCATTCGGTACCTGTCACAAGTTATATATATATATATATATATATATATATATATATATATATATATATATGTCGGTGTATATTACATACATACATATATATATATATATATATATATATATATATATATATATATATATATATATATATATATATATTATCATGGCTTCGCAAAACGAGGATCAAGAGGGAGTCTGTTCTGTTGCAGGCAAGTTTTTTGACTGATACGTCCAATGTGGGACAGCTATATACGGTCACATGTTGCTACTGAAGGTCTAGCCTGAGTTCGATGGCATAGCGTTGCAGTAATTCCTCCTCTACAATATATATATATATATATATATATATATATATATATATATATATATATATATAAAACATCTAAATAATTGCAAATTAAAAATAATAATAATTTTTTTTATGAAAGTATTTATTTATATTTGATATTTCAGATCGACCTCGATCTTTCTTCAGAAATAACTCATATATATATAAGAAATAACTCATTTATATATAAAAGTTTTTTTTTGTGGTACAGAATTTAATAATAGCTAGGAAAAGGCAAAATTTATAAGGCATTTTTTAAAAAGCTAAAAAAAAACAAACAAACAAAAAAACAAAACAAGCGGTTTCGTCCCAGGTCTTATCAAGTTTATTTTTCTAGGAATAAAAATATAAATATTAGTGCAGACTGTTTTTCGATTTTATCTAGGTCCCAATCCACATTTCATCTCAAGGTTCTAGAGTCCTTGTATATCAGATCCCGTGGGCCTAAAGTCCTTGTATATCAGATCCCGTAAACAGAGGGAATGCTTACTGGGTCTGAATGCTATTGGACTCTAGTTTCTTGAAATTCATATTTTTCCTCATTCCATTCGTTAATTTAATTTACACGCTTTTATATTTTTATTTCCAGAAAAATAAAATTGATAAGTTCTGGGACGAAACCGGTTGTTTCTTTTTTAGCTTTTTTAAAAAATGCCTTACAATTTTTATTAATATATTGTTGTTTCTTTTTTTAAAAAAATGCCTTATTTTTGCCTTCTCCTAGCTAATATATATATATATATATATATATATATATATATATATATATATATGTATAAAAGAAATATAGTCTTAAGATGTGCTATATTTATGGGATAAAGTGCTCAATATCAGATGAATTAAGAGATAGAAAAGATTCAAAAGCTTGACAAAAAATCCTGCTATTATAGCTATTTAAATGTAATATTAAAAATAATTTTACTAACTAATAATTATAAATTTATATGTAAAATTTAATATTAAAATTAAAACTGGCAATTTTAAAAATCCAAATTTAATCACTACAGTCTGTTGAGAAAAGAAAAAATATATATGCATTTAGACAAGCAATCATCAGGTGAATGACGACAATCAGATTATAATGTACGCATCCAGACATAATTAGATACATACACACACACACACACACACACACACAACACACACACACTAAAAAAAAAAAAAAAAAAAAAAAGGAAAGGTGGGGGAATATATGAACAACTCCAGAGCCCTTTTACGAAAAAAGGAGCGAAACTAACACTTATACACACACACACAGTTAAATGTGAATACACTCTACATACATATAGATACTGATATATACATAAACATACATCCACAATGGTTGACATTGAGAAATGGCTAACCACTTATTGAATTCACAAATATATAAAGATAAAATGTTTAAAATAATATTATTTAATATATATAAAACAATATATATATATATATATATATTAATATATATATATAAATTATATATTAAAAATAAAACTCAACACGCAAATTAACACACATAAAAAAAAAAATATATATATATACATAAACTACGAGAGCCGAAAACATTCAATGTAATTATTTGAATTAAATTGAATTAAAGTACTAAGCTCTATTCCATCTACACAAACAGGCAGAAATATCAAGCGAACAACAAATTGTCAACCAAATTTTTTTTTTTAAAAGTAATTATATTTATGCTCTACTTTTGTATATTTTAAAAAATAATAAAAACATACACATACATAAAAAAATACTCCTGTGAGGAACGAAAAGAACTTTGGATTATTTACCTAACGACACCTATTTTCTATATATATTCATATATATTTATATATATATATACACACATACTATATATATACATATACATTGAGAACACACATACATATATATATATATATATAGCCTTGGATACCATATCTTAAATATAATCTACCTTACCTTCCTAATTACATAATATATATATATAGTATGAAATATACATTGTTTAATCACATGGAGCTTCTTGCTAGCGGAAAACCTCGAAGTTTGCGCTAGCAAGAAGCACCAAGTCATCGTGACTGAGGGTTTAAGCATAATGGCGTTGTTTCATCTGCTGACAGATTATACGCTCTCTCGCAGAAACTGAAGATAAGGCCCGATCAACATAATTTCAGTATAAATAAACCACGGGTGATTTAGGTGGGTGTTGACACATATACATGTATAAGAGGAGTTCTATTTTAAAGTCCCTTTTTAACATATAAAACTAATATTTTGTTTTATTTGCCCACTTAACAGCGCTGTTTCACGCTAAGCGATTTCCAAGATGAGTAATTGTTTTTTATTTTATTTTATTTTATTGGCGCTAAAGAAATAAAATAAAGAAATGTAGAAATAAAATCACATATCCACTCCAGGGAAACTATAAATATGATAATGCATAATACCAGATGTAATTGATAACAAAGTAGAACCGAAAAGAAGAAAGAATTTACACCGGGGTCACCGGGAAAGAATTCTAGAAGACATATGTAAATCATAAAGGATATAAGTGTAGCCTAATGTGAAAATACATATGGGAATCGAAAATAAAACAGAAATAGCCATTAGTAGAATGGAGTATAATAAAGAGTTAAGGGAAATATAGGAAGAAATTGCGGAAAATCTACTGATTATAGAATTTAAGAACGAGGATAATCTGATAAATAAAAAGGGTGAAGTTATTTTGAAATGTCGACACACTGGCGCTTTCCTTTTAAAATGTGAAAAGGACAATAAATCTCGCGAAAACCATTAAAGCCGGGCTAGTCATTTTGAAAATCGTTTAGCGTGAAACAGCAGCGGAAATGGAAAAATAAGAATAAACAAAGTAATTTTTAAGTAATTACTTAAAAATTACTTTACGTTTCGGATAAAAAATAACACATATGGGTTTTGAAAGAGTTTAATGAAAAATGCACTTTCGTTCATGAGAAAAATTAGATAGGTTTGCCTATCGCCTGGTTTTAATTTCTGTCTGATCTTTTAAAGAGTAGAGGTTTATTCCTTGTTTCTTGTTTAGGATCGGGTTTCCGATTCTGTCTAAAAGTCTATTTCATCTCTATGCTCCTAAGACTTGTTCTTTCCTGCGCTAATACGGGTTCTACAGACATGGATTGCATATAAACCGGCAACATTAAGTGACTTTTGGGCCTTGTGAACCTTAGTAAAAAAAAAAAAAATCAACTTCAGTCTGCCGTGTCGTGATTCTTGGCTGAATCCGTTTAAAAGCACGATGGGCTATACGATAAGGAAGACACAGTTTCAAGTACTACTGAAGGTGCCTTTTCATTGCTCTCGAAAAACTGAAATCGGTAATCAAAAATATGATGTTTTAAAAAAAGAGAGCCGCCTGTTCAAAACGTGTATCCACTAAATATAATGTATATAGCAATAACCCACACACACACACACATATATATATATATATATATAATTATTTTTTTTAATCAATGTTGCAGATGGAAATAACGGAGGTGAATTCGACATCATTCGAGGAACTGGTCATATTAGGACATTAAAATTGTTGGACTATGATACGATGAGTATTAATAGTTTCACACTCCGAGTGCAGGCGGCCGATCAGAACGGTGCCTCTGGATCCCTTTCTGATACGACATTAGTTACTATTTTATTATCCCATGAAAACGAATATCCACCAGTTTTCTCCCAAAACACTTACCTTGTTAGCGTTAAAGAGTCAGAGCCTGTTGGTTATCAGTTCCTTCAAGTATCATCTTCGGACAAAGACAGAGGCCCAGATGGGGATGTATATTATTTTTTTACAAACAACACTAGTGGATCCTTTTTTGTTCTGGACAGCATTACTGGTAACTTTTTCCTTCAGCGTCGTCTTGATTTTGAAACGAGTCAGAGATATTCGTTTAATGTCACCGTCTCTGACATGGGCAGCATTCCCAAGACAAGCAGAGCAACTGTAATAGTCAATGTAGAAAATGTGAATGATGAAATACCAGATTGTCCGATGTCGTTTTTTGCTAAGGACGTTCGGGAGGATTTTCCTATTCAGAATACGATCCTAACAATAAACTGTACCGACAAAGATGCCGGAACGTATGGTCAGTTAAACTTCTTGATTGCAGAAGTAAATGGATTGATTGGATCGGGATCATTCAAGATCGATAACAGCGGCCAGTTATCACTCGCTTCCTCACTTGATTACGAAACACACACAGTTCAGCTTCTGAAAATTAATATTCGTGATGGTGGGATCCCGCCAAAAAGCACTGAAGTTATGGTCAAGATCACTGTACTTAATATTAATGAAGCCATTCCTATATTCAATGTATTGCCTCCTGTACTCACTATTCCGGAATCATCTCCCATTGGTCATATAGTGGTCAAAGTTTCTGCCCGAGATAATGACACAGGAGATACGTTGACCTACTTTTTCACAACTCCCAGCAATGAATTTGAAATCGATCCTGTACATGGCAACATCAAAGTGAAATCATTACTTGATTTTGAAAGCAAGAAATTATTCACGTTATATATTACAGCCGCGGACAGCGGGACCGTCCCTCAAAGTTATTCAGCACAGACAACATTGACCGTAATGCTTAGTGATGTAAACGACTCACCACCAGTTTTCTCTAGCAGCGTCTATCAAAGAAATATCCCGGAAAATCAGCCGGCCGGTTCCACGGTTGCAACTCTTACAGTGACGGATGCCGATTCAGGCTCCAATGCCCAGGCTACATTCTTGATTGTTAACGGAGACACAACTAATACATTCCAGGTAACAAGAGACGGGGCTGGAAATTGCGATGTGTCGCTAGCCACACCTTCGTTACTTGATTACGAACAAAAGTCACAGTATACATTACTGATACGGGCGACAGATAGCGGTGGATTGTCTGCAGAGGCAACATTGGCTATACAGGTAAGCATGTTTTCATTTTTATCTTGAATATCTGTATAATATTGAATTATTATACAAACTTAAAAAAAATTGGATATAGTTTGATATGTTTTTATTGCTGAAAGAGGAATTCGATTATTGTAAACTGGGATTCCTTAAACTTTTGTACCATCAACTTCTTCATGGAATCTTAGATCCTTCATCGGCCATCAGGCACGTACAAATATATCAATAATAATTTTTATCTTGGGGTAGAAATTCCTTTGCCCTTTTCTTTCATTATTGTTTCTCGATAAGGTTTATTTTAGCTTTGCTTTTTGTTATTAGTTTTTCAAGACCGCATCGCTCGAGAAGTCTGCGTTGCTTGGCACTGCAAATATTCTGTGAAAAGTGCTATCTGACTGATGCCATAAGACTTGATGGTGGACACACATAATGCAAGAGGTCCGGTTGAAAACGAAAAACAGCGCGAAAGAAGAAAGTATATTACTACTAATAATTAATATTAATAGCAGTAGCAACAACGACAACAACAAAATAATAATAATAATACTAATAATATGTCAGAATTTTTCCTAATTAATAAGAGCTTACTATTTATGTCAAAAAGACAATAGAAGGACAAGCGCATAAGTTTCTAATTCATTCAAAAACTGTTATTATTTAAAGTGAGTACATTTTATATTAAAATTATATTTTAAAATGGACAAACGATTCAAATGTGTAATTTTTTATATATATATATATATATATATATATATATATATATATATATATATATATATATATTTGTCTAACTTGCCTTGTTACCTGACGAGACCTCATGGTTGAAATCCGGGTAGTACGGAAGATAAAATATTTTCATGATTTTATAGTATATATATATATATATATAATTATTTATTTAAAAATATGATTCCAAATCGCTACATAAGAGGTCTCATGTTTCAAAACAAGAGCCGAAAACTTCAATATAATCCTTTAAATTAAATTGAGTTGAAATTAAAATGGGCTCCGTTCTATCTTCAAGCGAAATTTTTGTTGGAATAACGTATATCTGAAATTTACTTGTTTTAAAAATTGAAATCAAAATCCCCATGGTAACAGCTAGGGCGAATTGTCTAAATTGGGTAGGCGAGTGTAGGGTGTTAATAATAAGTAGCGGTATAGAGATACTTTCAAGGTGTCAAGTCGGGGAAAGGTGGGGGTGTCTAAAATGAAACGGAAGATGTATTAACCTTCATCATATATATAATAAAATTATTGGTAATCCGTATGGAATTTCCAAGAGGATATAGATCCATTGAGAGCTCTATGTCAAAAGTTAGAGCAAAATTATTATATAATGACAAACATACACTTAAAAACCATAGGTGATATTTATTTCGTTGAAGTCGATAAAAACGGCTTCAAGTATTCAGACCTGTAAACCGAATGAAAATGGAAAAATTTACTGTAGGTTTAAAAAATTAAGAATAGTGATTTCATATTGAGAGAGTGGGTGAAAGAAAGATCTTAAGTTATTATCGTGTAGGAAGTGGGGAAGGAAATGGTGTGTCGTCTCAGTTGTATTAACTGACATTGGGACCCGTGGTGACTTAATTTACACACCCGGATTGTTGACATAAATCGTTACATGAAATGGAAATTGAGAATACATTTCAAAAAGATTTTAAACTTAAAATCGAAATTCTGTCTGGATCCTTCTTCCGTTAAGATTTTGACACATGTATTCAACTTAAAAAAAATTGTTATAATTTATATTAAAAATAGTGGTTGGTTAAGATCACTCAAAAAACATTAAAAAAATATTCAAAACCTGGCTAAAGATTTCAACTTAAACGTAAAAAAGATCTAGTCAAAATAAAACTATATATATATATATATATATATATATGTGTGTGTGTGTGTGTTTTCTAATATCTAATTATCCACGAGAGTGTCCATAAATAGTTAATAAAACACTAAGATCCACAGAAGAAGAAAATATATATATAAATCTATTTATGTAGAGAAATAATTAAACATATTATATAAAGTATATAAAATAAGCAATAGTCCCAAACTTTTATAATTTAAATAAACTTATTAAAGTTTAACGGGATACGAAGAGACTTTAAAAAATAACGAAAGTTAATACGATCTGAATTAACTATTCAGTATATGGTTAAAAGTTCACAGATTTAAGTTCAATAAGCGTCCGTATCTGTATCAAGACGAGAACCTTTTCGTATAAGTTAACATGCAGTACCTAAATTGGTCAAACATCACCCCAAGCAAGGCGGGAAGCCACTAGGACGCAAGGGGTTACAGAAGATTTGGAGCAAGATCAGATAGGAGTGATGGAAGAATGGATGAGGAGAAGGGTAGTGGATAGATCAAGGCAACTGGAGATGTCGATTGACATTACATTTGAATAGCTGGAGATTATAGCTATCAGGAAAACTGGAATAGGGAAAGGAGTTCCACAGGCGAGAGGTGCGAGACATGAAGCTATTGGAGTAGAAGAGACGGCTACATTTAGGAGTTTCGACAGTGAAGGGGTGAGAGCGGGATGCCAGCCTCGTAGGGCGCTTGAGCTCATGAAGTCGACTGGGTCAGTTTTATATTTTCCCATTCCAGCCTAATATTTTATACTTTTTCCCACTCCCTTAGCGAGAGCGTCTCTTGATTTTGTCCCCTGGGCAGAATACAGCGGTCTCTCTGTTTTATGGGTTGGACGGTCCCTACTAACATCAATTATGTTTAGTTTGTATTTGTGTTTATTTTAAGTTTATTATTGGCTTCATTTCCCTCCCCTCTCATTTTATCATTATTAGAATTGTATATATATATCATCCTTAAAATTATTATGTCATGGGGCCCGATTTTGGTAGGTCTCCCTTGAGAGCACGTGGTATTATGGTGGTTGAAGGATTGTTTGGTGATGGACGAGTTCTTTTGGTGAATGAGTAAAATGTAATGTACGAATGGGTATAAGATAGTTAGTGTTGACCAGCCTCTACCCCTCCCCTTTATTGGCCTCGTGCCACAATTTGTACTTTTTGTATAAATAAATACCAGTCTGGGAACCAGCGAATGCAGCTCCTCGGAGCAATTGCCATAAAGTATTTGTAAAACAGACAGAGAGAGGCGACGGCGCGTCTGTGAGAAAATGACTGTAGACGAGATGCCAGAGCAGGGCCAATTATATTGCATATCCGCCTCTGGAGCCTATCAAGAACCCCGAGGCAAACAGAAGGGGCACCAGACCATATATGGCAGCAATACTCCTTGCAAGGGCGAATTGTTGATTTGTAGATCTGGAGGCTCGATTCCGGGGAGAAAAATTTCCTGGTGGGGCACAGGGAGCCAACTTTCCTTGCGGTGGACGAAGCAATTGACTCAATGTATTTGTTCCATCCGAGCAGCCGCAGAGAGGTGCTCTCGAGAAGTTGAGCGTCAGACATTCTAATGGAGGGCAGGGAAGGATCTCTGTGGTGATTAATAGAGAGCAGTTAACTGCAATTAAGCAATTAACTGCTCTCTATCCTTAATACATACATTTATGACCGTCACAGATTTCTAAACGGGCAAACAAATAATAAATACATAATGCACATGGTTAACATCAATACAAAATATGAGCACTATACATGTGTATCTCTATATCTACACATACTCATATATTCATTAAATACACAATATACATATCCATAACGTCACCCAAGTATATAGTTATATATGAATCTATCAAGTAGCACAATAACCTGTCCTAGTATAAAAGTGGTATATCTAACATATGTATAAAAAATACGTATATTCATATATATATATAGAATATCATGATATGTATACATTACATATTAAACACAATCTCATACGCATACATATTCTACGCCTAAATACATCCATACCCCCACGTTGTACTAGATGGCTGTTGACCCTACTAGAAAGTTTATCTGCCCTCTAACAGGTTTTGTTTTAAATTCACCTCGGCGTCTAGTCGCTATTCTTAACAGAAAAGCCTGGTGGGGGACCGGTTTAGTTGCTGATGACCCGACTATGCAGCCTGTGGTATTGTCACAAAACCATCAATAGTTTTGATTACGCAAAACTATCACACTTATCTGTTGATTACGCAAACTATCAAACTTATCTGTTGTCCTCATCTTCATTCACGAGTTTTGGCCGTTGCACGCTCCCGCCTTCTTCAAGTTGGAATTTCGAACCGAACCCTTTATTGAGGTAGATTGTTCTAGTTCCACGTACCATGCCTTTTCTGGCTATTTCAGTTTCAGTTATTGCCTTTTAGTAACTAAACTTTCCAAGTTTATGTTCACCTCTGCTGTGGCCAGGTATTGAACTCCCAACCCTTTGGATCATTGGAGTACTTCAACCAACGCTTTTATCGACTGTGTCCTTGGAGAGTTGAGTTACTAAAGGGGAATAACTGAAACTGAGAAATCCAGAAAAGGCATGCCACGTGGAACTAGAACAATTCATCCTGGTGGACGAAATAAAGGTTTCGGATTGAAATTCCGATGTATATCATCTGAAGAAGGCCGAAGCATACAGCGATCGAAAACGTCGTGAATATGACAATAACGATGAGGACAACATTTCGAACTATGTAAATAGTTCGAATAGTTACAATAACTCATCTCAGAAATAGAGACAGAGCATCAAACTTAGAGGAACATTTCACTATGGCATATTTTTAGTTTAACGTTCATTAAAAAGCATTATTTCATTTCAAAGTATAAAAATAGATATTTATTACAATCATGCACTCTTGATTATAAATTTACATAATACACACCTAGAAATAATACATCGGTGAGCGAGACTTTCTTTAGTATTCTCGTTTATTATAATACTATAAATCGTACATATAATTGAACGCAACTTCACATTCGCTAATCATATTATAATTTGGGGGGCATCTCGACGTGGTGTAAAACGTCGTTAGCTAGGACAATTGCGACTGAATAGTGAGTTTGATCCTCACTGGGTGCCCCATACGTTCGGCCGTTTGCCACGTCTAAGCTAAAAAATCGCCATATTATAATTCTGTTTCTTTCTTCGTTAGTTAGAGCTTAGTTTACGCCATGCCATTACTTCGGATAAATAATGGCCCATTCCTGAATTGATTGCAAGGATAGACGAAGAATAAATATATAAAAAAGCGCTGTTTGGCTTTAGCGAAAGAAAGAAAAAAACGCATGTGTTTAACGTCTGCTTCAGTGAAATAGAAAAACCTTGTCACTTGAATCTTTTTTATTTTTATCGTCTTATTTCTTTAAATATTAACTTGCATTTATACATGTTTCTTGTAATATTTGGTTAAAGTTATTAAACTCAAATATTTAAGACAATAGGGCAATTTTCGCATGTATTTTATAGACATGGAATTCGTAAAAGAGCTTATTATTAACTTAAGAATGAAGGTCCATTAGAAAGTTAAAAGAGAAAAAAAAACGTAAAATTTTCTCTGATATTACTACTAAATTAATAATTTATCAGTTATTAAAAGTGTTTTCTGTCTATTAAGACGATTAAAATTCCTCAAAACCGGAATCATACTCGGCATCTAAAAAAAAGCTGTTTGAACCGAGTGTCAAAGATGGCACAAGATCGTTTTCTTTCAGTAGGTAGCAAATAGGAAGCGAGTCTAAGTCGAGGAACTTCTGAGAATTTCATTTATTTAAAAAGAAAAAATTAACTGAGAGTTTTACGGTACATAAAGCAAGGTTGATTTGGTTATATTTTTTTTTTGTCTACAGGTGCAACCCTACAATGAGTATCCCCCCAGTTTTCAAAATATCAGACCAAGTCTGCCAATTAAAGAGGATGTACCTATCGGAACGACACTCACAAAAATAGCAGCAACCGACCGAGACGCCGGTCAAGACGGTAGGATATTCTATGACCTTACGGGCGGCCTTGGTAAATTTATAATTGATCGCCACAGTGGAGTGATCACCGTTCGTGATGAACTGGACAGAGAACAAGTCGACTCCTATCAGCTATTAATTGTCGCGAAAGACGATGGGGTCAACCCGTCGGCTTTAACGTCAACGCTTACACTGACTATCACAGTCGAAGATATTAATGACAATAACCCAACTTGTGCAGGTCGTCAACAAAACATTGCGTTTGTTCGTGAAGATCTGCCCATCGGCACTTCTGTCTTTTCGTTGTTTTGCACGGATGGAGATCGTGACCCTGCGTTAAAGAACAACGTCCTACGTTATGCTATCACCAAAGGTAACAAAGCTGCTGCGTTTGCTGTCAATGCTAGTACGGGCCTTTTAACCACAAAAGCAATAATGGATCGGGAAGTAAAAGCCTCTTACGACTTGACTATACAAGTTTCTGACTTCGGAACACCATCGAGATCAATTGATCAAAGTGTTTACATACAGATCACTGGTAAGTTTTCTATTCACTTCGTTGATTTAGAATTGAAAAGTTGTTTTTTCTATTATTAAAATCATATTTATTAGACGGGCTTTTTTTTTTTTTTCCAAGCAAAGAAACAGACTGAAAATTAATGAACTCTAGGTCCTAAGACGTCTTCTCATTGACATTCAACCCTAACACTGAGAAGCTGATATCCTGCACCAATCACATCAATCTCATTAATATCTGTCTGTATTTCGGAGATGAGGTATTGTACTTATTTACACTATTTACATTGTTCAGACTGTTGTCCTCGTCTTTGTTGCCATATTCACGACGTTTCGGCCATTTTACGCTCCGGCCTTCTTGGGTGATTGAAATTTCAAACTGTACCCTTTATTTCATCAGCCGTGGTAGATTGTTCTAGTTCCACATGCCACGCCTCTTCCGGATATTTCAGTATTAGTTATCTCCCTTTAACTCAGCTCTCCATGATTTTTTTTCACCTCTGCTGTAACCAGGTATTGAACTCACAATGCTTTGATTACTTCCTGAAAAGTAGCAATAAGTCATTGGAATTTTTGTGGTAGGCGATCTAGACTAGCAACAAACGCATGTTCTGATAATGATGGCCGTGATGATTCTATAATGATTTCTTTTTCAAAAATGTCTTTGGCCCTGATTGTATAATAAATCCACTCAAAAAAGAAATGGACTTTCTTTGGTTTTTCTATAAACTTCAACTTAAAGCAGCATACATTTATTAATCTTCATAATTTTCTTTATTTTTGTACTTTTAATGATTTTAGTTTGTGTAACCACTCAGACTGGATTTTCTCTTCGGACTACATGTTGTTAATATATATTTCTTGGCTCTAAAATACTAGAATCAATTGAATATTTTCATCTGATCAGGAGAAGCAAACTCATTTTTACCTGGTGTATATAAGATGTTTTCAATGGATTTTTTGCGTTTCACTTTTATGTTCATTTTTTTAATTTTAAAAAAGAATATATATATATATATATATATATATATATATATATATATATATATATATATATATATATATATATATATCCTTATTTGTCTTTCAATACTATCAAATAAAAAAATGTTTCTGTTCTGTTTTACTGCAGATGTCAATGATAACGCCCTGGTATTTACGTCCAATAATTACTCGGTTGCAGTGTCTGAGAGTATGTCCACAGCCAATGTTATTCTCAAAGTGACTGCTACTGACAGTGACGCTGGAGATGCAGGTAAAAATCACGAACAAACTTAACAACTTCAAATTTGGTGCACGAAGTCATTTAAATTCATTTAGTACACTGATGATATTTTTACAATTTTACATCAACTCTTTTTTTTGTTATAATTTGGTAGATATAAAATGTGATTTAGCATTAAGAAGTATCTTAATTTAGATTTCAATCAAAGCCTAATTTATATTTATGAACACAAATCTGTAGATTTTGATATCGTACGCAGGGAAAAAAGTAATTTCTTATTTAAATTTGTTCGTTTGCGATAATAACCTAATAATTTGGTCTCAATTTTGTTTTTTATTCCATTAATGTAAAAGATTTCGAAGAATATAGAAATTATTTCTCAGTAGTTTGAATAGCTTACCGTGCTGTAAATTAATGTGATATTTTTAAAGCGATGTCTGTTGTTAATAAAGAAAATATTTCCTGAATGTAGTCAGTTTTATTTAATAGAGTTCTAGATTCAATCAGAGGCTTAGGTGATCATGTATCTTTCGATACATGATTGACAAGGCAAATTTTTTTTCGCGGTAGGTTGCCATTTCTTTCTGCGATAGACCAGTTGCCATCCAAGTCTATAGAATTCGGTCTGTCCTGCTATTTACCCCTAACTGGATGGAGAAGAAGAGGATTCATACCTCTCCCAAGGGTATTAACACGTAAGTGAATGCAATGGATTCGACAGGAAATCCTCAATCCGAGCTGCTATCCTCCACTTCTAGGTTAGGGAGTGTATATATTGTCATCAAAACCTTACTTCAACTGATATCATTAATTCCGTATTAATAAATAATATTAGTGTTTGAATATCATATATTCTATTGGTTTGTCCAAAACTTCCTTCTATTTTGTCCTAGGATGGTATTATTACTAAATTAAAAAATAGATCTGTTTTCATTGTATTGTGGCAGCTATTATATTGGATTCGATTTTTTTTCGGATCACATTTATTGCTCTTAATATATGTGCTTGACACTAAAATACTAGAATCAGTTGAATATTTTCAGTTGAAACAGGAAAAAAGATTCCAGGTTTTCGAAAACGAATGCTTGAGAAAGCTTCTCCTCATCTCTTACTGGGAACACAAAACCAATGACTATGCACGGAGCATTGTTAAAAGTCTCGTGGGTCACGTCACACAGCAGAACACTCTCTGCAAGACGATCATGCAAGAACCTGTTGAAGGCGGGCGGCAAAACAAGAGCCGGTAAGGCAACATCAAAGAGTGGACGGACATGACAATCCCGAAACTCCCGAGAGCCACCGTCAACAGATCATCCTGGTGGAGGGTGTCTGTTTCTTCTCCCCGATGACTGAAGCAAAGGACTAGTGATGGTTATTTACAGAAAAAAAGCACTTGAAGAAGTTGTTTGTCGAAAAAAGATATTTTGGGAATATTAAATTATGAATGTATATAAAACGTAGCAGAAAATAGTAGGAAAAAACTGTAAAGATTCTTATCTTGCACAGTAAAATAAATATCGAGAAAAATAACAGTGTACAAGTAGTCTGATTTTTATTTGAGAAATCGAACAAAATAGATCGTCCATACAATACTAATGTAACACTGTGTGGCTGACTGGGATGAGATTTATTGTCCGAAGTAATGTGGTCACCTGTCCAATTATGGTAAAATCGGATAAATGACATCATTGTGATTAGGTCAATATTAGTAGATTTGAGTAAATAATACTGTTGTCTATTTTAATCCAGACGTATGAAGATGGAACAAAAATAAGATGCTCCATTGTTTAGGTAGTGTGACCACAGTTATATAGCAGAAGATTTGTGAGAAGAAAGAGTTATTCTTCATCTATACAGAAAGTCTCGTCAGGCTAGTAGCGAGTGTCCGACACCCCCACCGAAACTGCTGTTGGCAAAATAAAAGTGATTTCTCCAGCAAACACTGGTTATTGTTATCTTCGGTGTGTACAAGTGTATCTTTCCACGACTTCATCCCCCCTGTGAGTATACATCGGCCTTGGTAGCTACGTCCAACACCGACAAGCCACCTTAAAAAAACTACGAAACGCAACGTGGGGTCGATTGCCTGTTTATCGAAAAGGTAGGGCATAGCCACACTAAGAGCATTTGAGTAATTATTTTTTTTTTAAAGTCTGGTAAAGATATACGTTTAAAAAGTGTAACGTATCTACTAAAAAGTGCAATGTATCTATTAAATGTGTAGCGCAGCTATTAAAAGTATAATATTACTATTAAAAAGTGTAACGTAGCTATTAAAAAGTGTAACGTAGCTATAATTAATATACTTTAAATAGACGGCAATATATCTGCTTATGTCTAAAAAAAATGACATTATTGCTATTAAAACAGACATATTTTTCTAAGAACAAGGACAATGATAAAATATTATCATTATATATAATGAAATGTTGTGCCTCTAAGAAAATACATAAATAGTACAAATGATGAAATCTATATTATATAAAATAATTTACATTTCAGGTGCTGTTTTGTACAGTATTCTGTCCGGCAACACCAACAACCAATTCGCTTTGGATTCGCTTACTGGCGATTTGAAACTGGTCAAAAACCTCGACCGAGAAGCAGTTAGCATTTACACTCTTTTAATTCAGGCCATAGATGGAGGTTCTCCACCTCTCTCAGCGAAGGTCAACGTTGTAGTAAGATTGATAGACGAAAACGATAATAGCCCATCATGTAGCTCTTCGTATTACTCCGTAACGCTGTGGGAAAACGCCAAAACAGGCACCCCTGTTATATCTTTACAATGTACAGATTTAGATATTGCGTCTAACGCTATTCTTTCATACTCCATCGTGTCAGGTAATGCCCACAGTACATTCAATATCGACCCAACGACGGGCAACATTACGGTTTACAGCAGTCTGGACGCTGAAATTAAAACCAAGTACTTGTTGAATATCGATGTTTCTGATAAAGTTCACACCACAAAAGTTGAAGTCGAAATCGTGTTGCTGGACATTAACGAATTCCCACCGAAATTCATGCCCCCAGGTCCATTCGGAACACACGTCCTTGAAAATTCTGCAATTGGTTCTTCTATATTTCAAGTGATCGCCAAAGATGACGATGCTTCGTCCTCAGTGATTTTCTTTTCATTTCCAGCCCCAAACAAATACTTTAGCATCCATAAAATGACCGGAGTGGTCAGTCTTAATGATCACTTGGACAGAGAAACTTTAAGCACACACACATTGACCATCGAAGTGACGGACAACGGCTCTCCTCACTCATTAAATAGCAGTACGGCACTGATCGTTATAGTCGATGATGTGAACGATAATAATCCCTTTTGTAGCAAAACACATTATGTCGTTTCCCTTCCGGAGGATACGTTAACATCGACGTGGATTACGAATATATCGTGTTCCGATGTGGATATCTCTTCACCGTTGCTCAAATACACAATCGAAGCAGGGAACAATTCAGGGATCTTTGAAGTTATATCCAGCACCGGCCAAATTTTCTTGAAGAAAAATCTAGATTTTGAAACAGCTTCTTTGCATACGTTGGACATTCGTGTCGATGATAACGGTACACCTTCAATTTTATCAACCCGTGTTAAGTTAATCGTCAAAGTTTTACCAATCAACGAACACACACCGACTTTTAGTATCATCAATAACAATATTATCACAGTCATGGAGAACTCTTCTCTTAGTTCTCTTATCGCATGGGTCAACGCAACTGATGATGATAAAGGCGAGGATAACGGCGAGATTGCTTTTGGCATCAAGTCCGGTGATCCGACTGGTCATTTTCTGATCGATTCAAAAACGGGTAAAATCTCTTTGGTAAAAAATTTGGATCGAGAATCGCAAGATCAATACAGACTGGTCGTGATTGTCAAAGACTGTATACGAGGGTTTGGCAATCCTTTGACTGCCTCAACCACAATTCATATCAACGTTGCCGATGTGAATGACAATTATCCTGAATTTAGCCAGACCTCATATGTCGTGTCCGTATCTGAAAATGTGGGAAATGGGACCAAACTGCTGTCGCTTATTGCTCATGATGACGATTACGGATTAAACGGTCAAGTGGCTTTCATTATTGAGTCCGGTGATCCGACCAATAGATTTACGGTTAATAACATAGATCTTGAAGTCAAAGACAAACTTGACTTCCTGAAGACTAACTTTTATTTGTTAAAGGTCCAAGCGCGAGACAAGGGTGTACCTCCGCTTTCATCTTACGCTTATGTTACTGTCCATGTGGAATACAAGAACAATTATCCACCGACAATTTCAAAGGGCAATGCTAGCATTGTTTTAAAAGAAAACCACACAATCGGATCGATTGTGTATCGTGTGAATGCAACTGATCAGGATACTGGAAATTCGGATGGACTGAACGTCTCTATAAGTTCTGTTATTCCATCAAATGCTCCTAGTCATTCTTTTGTCCTTGATCAGAGAGGAGACATAATTCTGGCTGCTTCATTAGACTATGACACACTGCCGAACAAATTTGCCTTGATAATATCCGTATCTGATAAAGGGTCGCCAAATGCAAAGCCATTGACCAGTACAATGACCTTGAGCATCACAATCGAGAATATTAATGATAACGCGCCTGTTTTTATACAAAATGTGTATAGCTATTTTGTAGATGAGAACACGCCCTCAACACATTGGTTGGACAAGTCAGGGCAGTGGACAAAGATTTAAATCTATTCGGGTCTATTACATATTATGTGGTTGGTGGGGATACGAAAGATCAAGATTTTGAATTAAGTCAGAAAGATGGCAGAGTCTTCGTTAACGGATCGCTGGATTTTGAGAGAAAAGCTGCATATGTGTATATAGTCGAGGCAGTCGATCAAGGTAACCCGGCGAAGTCGGGTCGGTGCATTGTACGTATATCAGTACAAGATATGAATGATATGACCCCAGAATTTGGCCTCTCGAAACATTCTCTGGGAATCCCTGAAGACGCAGCTGTCGGCACGTCGGTGATCAAAGTAGAAGCGAGAGATGCTGATTCTTATGCGAATGGCAATTCTGATATTCAGTTTAGCATGACGGAAACAACGGCTGCAAATAACCATTTCCGAATTGATGCAACCAGCGGATTGATAACTGTGCATCGGAAGCTTGATCGTGAATTTATCAGCAAGTGAGTATCGCAGACGATTGAAAAGATTTTTGTGTCAGAGATTGATTTGAAAGGAAGCAGAAATGTGCTTCTGAACTGCTTCTTGTTCTCTCTAAACTCCACAATAAATTGCCTTGTTTTTTCTTGCTTTCCTGCTTGTTGGAAATCCTCTTCCGTAGTTCCAGTCTTTAAGAACTCAGCCTAACCGTCTGATCCTTTTAACTACCAGCTTGTTGGCCTTCTGTCTCATTTTCACGAAGTAATAGAGGCTATAATTGGTTAAGCATCTCACATCGCAGGGTTTTCTTTCAGACTTTCCTTCTCTACGTCAACTGCTAATGTGTTAACATTTATTACTGAAAGAGTCTATTAAGCTTTAGATAATAATGGTGAAACTAGAGCTGTTGATTTAAATATCTCCAAGGCGTTTGACATGATTTGGTATGCTGATCTTCTTCACAAGTTATTTCTGGACGAATATTTGAACTGATTCAGTCTATCTTACGAAAAGTTGTCTTGAATGGCCACTCTTCTAGATCTTTTTTTGTATTAATACAGGTGTCCCTAGGGCTCTATTCTTGGACTTATGTTGTTCCTAATTTTCATCAATGACCATCTTGTTGTCGTCAGTTCTCAACTCAGTATCTATGCTGATATTTACACAAATATTTACTCTTGTCTTAATAGTAAGTCCGGTCAGTTCAATAAGTTCAAATTAGCAGCTGATCTTAAAGATGAAATAAAATGAGAAAGTATTACTTTCTCATGAAGATTTTCATTAATTAAAACAGTATAAAAAGTATTATAACTTGAAGTATGATTTTATATTTAAAGACCATATCTGCAAGAATCATTTCCATTTTTCCTTTCCAATTCTATTCAGAGAAATTAAATAAAATCTTGTATATTAGCCTTCTACCTCTTTTTGGCAAAGTACTAGGAGTTCTAATCAAATTTGAATTGGTTAAATATCTCACCTTTCAAATAAGCAATATGGTTTTTGCTTCTCTAGGTCAACTGATGATGTATTAACACTTGTTGCTAAAAGAGTCTATCAAGTTTTAGATAAGAAATATAAAGCTGTTGCTTTAGATATCTTGAAGGCATTTGACTGGTCTTCTTCACAAGTTGAAAGTTTATGGTATTTCTGCACAAAATTTTAACTGATTCAATCTATCTTATGAAATCATGAAATAAAAGTTGTCTTGAATGGCCACTCTTCTAGATCTTTTTGTATTAATACAGGTGTCCCTCAGAGCTCTATTCTTGGACTTAAGTTGCTCCTAATTTTATTCAACGATCTTCCTGATCAGTCCTGATCAGTTCTCAACTCGGCATCTATGTTGATGAGACAATTATTTACTGACCTCCAGGAGAGTGACTCAACCTAACAATTGACGCTTACATGAAGTGATATGATTATATTGAATCATTTTAGGTCTGCTGCTAGGAAGTTTGGTTCCTTGTGTCACGCTAGACAATTTTTATCGCCATAATCTTATCATATGAATTTATAAGTTAGCCAGTCGTCTAGGCATTGGATATTACTGTCAAATCTGGTTTGATGCATCTGCTGTGTATTTAGAGATTATTGATAAAATGCAAAAAAAGAATCTGCAATGTCAACTGGCATCTCGGCTTCAGTCACCTTTACATGCTGTAACGTAGATGCTCTGTACCTTTTCAATAAATATTTTCATGGTAATTGTTCTGATGAGCTCTCTGCTGCCTAGACTTTATAGATTCAATTGTTAAATGACGAAAACTTGCTGCCAATCAAGCACTAAATTGGCTAGATGTAGCTTGTTATCTCGCACTTCTCGCTTGTGGAATTCTCTTCCAGATTCTTGCTTCCCAGTCAGGTTTGATCGAAATGTAATGCCATTCATTATCTTCTGTCTTCTTATTCCTGGTCTTTAATTGTTCTTTCTCCTTAATAATTTTTCTTTTCTCATATTCTTTCATACTCAATAACCCCTCTTGCATCTTAGTGGTTTTATTGCCTTACCTGGGGTAAAATGATTATAAAAAAGAAAAGAAAGAGATAAAGATTTATTTTTCTTGAGGCACACTGTCAGATTTATGCAATTTAAAAGGGTCGCGCTTGGGTGCCTAGTGTGGGTGGGAGAATGAATATCGGTGGTGTCAAAATCAGAAAAAAGTGATAAACGGATTTGGTTGGGAAAAATAGAGAAAACGTGAGGGGGGTCAATAATGTGGTTGGTTGGGAAACGACCTCCAAGAATCCATAAATTGAAAAGTGTCCATCAATGTCTTTAAGTAAAATGCTTTAACAAAATCGAAAATATTTCCATGTAGTCTTGCCAATGTTACAATATCGAAAAATGTCCATCTAAGGCCAAAAACTAAAGAATGTACAATGACTAATGAAAAGTATCGAGATTGGTATTTATAAAAAAGAAAACGACAACACATATGAATTCGAAATTTAATCTACCTGTTGTGACCAACTAAATGGTTAAGAAATAGCAAAACAAGAGGCTGCAGATAAGTAGTGTATCGAACAGTAAATACAACAGAAGTGTGTTACATGACTTGGGAGTGTGTGTCGGTTGACCAGGGTTCAGTCTATATCACTGTTGATATTTATTAGAAACGAGGGTAAATGTGGCACAAGGCCGAGTTTAACGTGGGTCATATGAGCCTGTAGGCTCGGCCCAAAATCCCTGTAGACCCCGCATAAACGATCTCGGGTCTGTCTACTTCACTGGACGAGACCCTGCCCTTTGGCACAGCCTCGTCCGGGTTCCTCTCTGCCCAAGGCAGAGAGTTCGACAGGAACTGCGAACAGCCACAACAGAAAAAAAAACTATATCACTGTTCCCGCGAGTTTTATTTTTCCTACTAACTTTATAGTAAGAGTCCACAACATTCCCCCGAAGTAGTCCCCTTCTTTTGTCAGACAATTTATTCAGCATCGTTTCTGTTGATAGAAACATTTCCAGAACATTTGGGGGGGGGAGCAAGCAACTGTCAGTCAGTTATGTGCCATGCGTGATACACGCTTAAGCGATCATGTATTTTTCGATGTATGACTGACGAGGCACAGTAGGTTGCCATTTATTTCATCCAATACTATAGAACCCGGTCTGTCCTGTTATCTATCCATAGCCATAGCTGGCAGGAGAAGAGGAGGACTCATACCTTCCCCAAGGATATTAGCACTTAAGTGAATGTAATGGATTCAATTAGAATTGCGAATTCGGTTTTCCGCTTCCTCAATCCAAGCCGCTATCCATTACTCCACCATGCCTCCTCTAGCGAGCAACTACCTTGTTGCATTCTCTTGTATTTCCTCGTCGTCTTGAAATCTTGTTTCTTTCAAGCGATATTTGACTTTCAGAAAGATAAAAAAATCGCTAGGGGCGAGATCTGGGGAATAATGTGATTTGGAGAATGTTATCCTTGGCCAAAAACTGCTGCACAAGCCATGGTCACTGATGGAACATCTGAGATGTGATAACGATCACACTTTTCTTCTGGTCTCTCCTATAAACAAGGGAAGTAAGCGATAACTTTATAACTTAAGGTACATGCGCAACAGTGTTGAAAGTCTATATGTACCAAGTGGCTTCACTCTGCGTACTTTAGCGCCGTTGCCATAGCAACAGTCTCAATACTTTTTGAATCCTCTCTCCCAATGTTAGCTTAAAAGGTGTTAATGTTATAATATAATTATATTGATGGTTTCGGCTCTCGTTTTTGCAATATGAGAACTCTTATGTAAGGAAGGAATCATATTTTTTAAAATAATTATAATATATATATATATATATATATATATATATATATATATATATATATATTTATATTTAAAAAGTAGATTAGTAAGTTTATAATATAAAATGGCGAAATCCTTCGCTAACAAAATTTTAAAGATGCATTAACCTACTAATCACTGATGAATGTTATGATCCTTGTTTTTCAAAATTATAAGCTGTATAAGTTCTTTCTTTAACATGTAAGTACTTTCGACTGTACATTCAGTCATCTTCAGGTATGGAAATTATTTTGTTTTTGGGACTTGCGTATTAAAGAAAAACCTAGTACAGCTTATAATTTTGAAAAACAAGGATCATAACATTTATCGAGTGATTAGTAGGTTAATTCATCTTTAAAATTTTGTTAGCGAAGGGATTTCGGCATTTTATATCATTAACTTTACTAATCTACTTTTTGTATGAATGATTTCTTGTAATATAAATTGAACTGCACCACACACACACACACACACACACACACACACACACACAAAAACACACACACATGTATATATATATATATATATATATATATATATATGAATATAATAACATGAGAATAATATCTCATGTTGATCCACATTTGCAACATTGCGGAGTAAGCGTTTTATATATATATATATATATATATATATATATATATATATATATATATATTATTAAACAGTATTATAATTATATATATATGTATATATAATTAAACAGTATTAATTATATTTAGCGGCTTGAATGCTCGAGAAATTACACAGAAAATATGTATCCTCCGACTTCGAAATTTCTTGGGTATTCAGGCCAATGAATGTAATTAATATTCTTTATTTAAAAATAGAGCATTTAGAAGTTGTAACCAGAAAAAATAACGTCTAGACAGAATACATATATTGTCATCCACGGACAGATTGTTTCGCTGTATCACAGCTCATTAGTATGATTAGACATCCGATGGCTTCAAGCCGGGATCGAAACCCGACTGATTCAGGAACAGTCGAAGATTCCCCCTAAGCCATTGACGCACGGTTGAACGAAAAGCGAATTTTTCCCTACTTATTCTGTGAATATATATATATATATATATATATATATATATATATATATGTGTGTGTGTGTGTGTGTGTGTGTGTGTGTGTGTGTGTGTGTGTGTGTGCTCCTTTATACCTCTCCACAGATTCCATTTTCTTTATTATTTGCGATCTTTACAGTTTGGAATTCAGGGTATTCCTACTGTTAGACTGGTTGCCATCTAAGGTTGTTGAATCGTATCTACCATGTTATTTAAATTATAGCTGGGGGTATAAGAAAGAGGTTTCGCTGATTCCATTTTCCCCGCCGATAGCAGTTACGTTACCTGCAACATTGTGATATACTAAATGATGCTAAATAATTAATAAACATGGTAGATTCATCGAGGTATAGGTAAATACGGATATGTTTAAAAAATGATTTCCTATTATTGTGCGTATTTAAAAATGACTTCTTGTTAAACGTTCTGTAATCTTTTATCTGACAGGCACAATTTGATTGTCTACGCTACTGACAATGGTACACCGCGCCTAACAGGTTCAAATAATATCACCATTTATGTCACGGATGTCAACGACAATAGTCCAGTCTTCTTGCGTACTTATCGTGCGACGATATCAGAAGAAACGCACATAGGGTCTGTGGTTTTTAGACTAACTGCCTATGACCGAGATGAAGGAAAAAACGCTGCTCTTACTTTCCGTATTCTGAGTGGAAACATCAATGAAGACTTCCGAATAGACTCTACTTCCGGCTATTTATTCACCAATCGATCGTTAGATCGAGAAAGAACATCTCGTTACATGTAAGTCTGATTGTCGAATTATTTTTTCTTTTTTGTCAGTTCAAGTCCTTTCTTTTTATTCAGGTCCTTTCTTTTATTCTTGTTTGTTTATTCATTCTTTCATTCATTTCTACCAGAATCCGGATTAAAGCATCAGATGGAGGATCGCCTATCCATTGGGCAATTACTGATGTAACCATTAAGATTAGTGATGAGAACGATAACAAACCGTTCTTTCTCTCTTCGAACTACACCTTTACAATAGCGGAAAATCTCCCAGCTCCGGTAAGAGTCGGTCAGTTGATGGCTACTGATGCAGATATCGGTAGAAACGGCCTTCTTAAATATAGGATTCTCTTTATGCTGACAGGACCAAACGATTTCAACATTGATGGTGGAACCGGTGTTATAACATCGAGGTTAAAGTTGGATCGAGAGTCTGTGTCTTATTACAAATTGTGGTGTGAAGTGACTGATGATGGAGTACCTTCTTTGACAGGTATGATGGTTTCACCATTTATTAATTGATTTGATTGATCTGACCTAGAATCTAGAGTAAAATTCCTTTAATATGACTTATCATTTTTTAAGGAAAACCTAAAAAGAAATATATTGGAACAGAACAAAGAAATTAGAAAACAAGCAACCCTTTTATTATTTGTTTATATTTATGAACTGTGGTATTGTAACTATTTACACTATCTACTTTGTTTGGACCGTTGTTATCATCTTTATTGTCAGGTGATATCTTTTTTGGGGAATTTCGAACCGTACCCTTCATTTAGTCCACGGGGGTAGATTGTTCTAGTTCCACTTGCCATACCTTTGGATATCTCAGTTTTAGTTAATTCTTCTTCATAACTCAACTTTGGGTCAAGTCACTTTTGGATCATTCAACTAACTGAGTCATCTATCCCTGGAGACATTAATGGTTGAATTTTGATCCAAAAGTAACTAGACCCAAAGAGTTATGGGTTCAATACTTGGCCACAGCAGAGAGAATAAAGATGAGGACAACAGTCCGAAAAATGTAAATATTTTAAATATCTTTTATCATTAATTAAATAATTAATGATGGTTGCTCGTTATATATGATTTAAAGCTAGGAATATATCCTATATATATATATATATATATATATATATATATATATATATATATATATATATATTAAACACATAATATATATATATTATGTGTGTAATATCAAGTGTTGTTATTTTTCATCATCAGTTTTCACTTGTTCCATGAGATGCTCAAAATGTAAAAGATTAAATATGGACAAAAGAGCTAAAACATATATTTTACGGCTCTTTTATTATTTCATATTCAACGCGAAACAAAAGACTCGGAAAGTATTTCAAATTAAAAGAGTGGACCATTTTGACAAACCCAACGTATCAAAATATATTGTTCCACCGACCAACTCTATTACAACTCTAATTGAAAAGAATTTATCTAAACTTAACATAAAATTTGTTACAACTACTTCTAAAACAATACAAGCTTAATTAATACAAAACAAAATAATAGGTTTTAAATTTGTTGTTTATATTTTTAGTATAAATTGGCGGACCGATATGTCGATGAGTAATAGAAAAACGTGCAAAGGTTTTCAAAAAATGCTTAAAATAAGGAAACTATGCTAAAATAAATTTTATTGAAGATGGCAAAGGAATTTTTACCCTTAAAACAATTATTGATACTTTTTGTACATGCCTGGGTGGGGGTCAATGAGTGATCCAAGATTCCATGAAGAGGCTGTGAGGGTCTGAAAAATTAGAGGACCCTTAACAAATAAAATTCTAACTAAATTTAGTATGATGATGGATCAGTAAGTGTAAGATAATTGACTATACATTGAAAATACTTTCAAGCTCCTCCGATACAGTAATTATTTCATATTCAATGTAAAACAAAAGGCTTGTAAAGTAGTTCAAAATAGAAAAGTAGACCATCCTGACAAACCGAACGTATCAAAATATATTGTTCCACCGACCAACTCTATCACAACTCCGGTTGAAAAGAGCTTAACGTAAAATTTATTACAACTACCAGTCAAAAGATAAGATATGTTTAGCGAAAAGGTAGTTTCACAAAAGAAAGGAATACGTTTTCTCTAATAAGCCTTTCGATGATTTACATACATAAACGGTAATTTAATTGTTTCTAAATAAACAGGCATGTCTCTTCAAGCACCCGTAACTACTAAAATATCGTGTACAGCATTAAGATATATTTCTGGGTTGGAAAAATCCATTTATTGCTTATATAATAAGCAAATTATTTGAAATTATCATTTTTAGAAAATCTTGGTAAAAATATATTTTTTACGTCTGTTACCACACAATTAATTTCATGAAATTTCAAGAAACTAAATTTTGATCGCAAACTTTGTTTTATTAGTTAAAAGCAGGACTCCTTGGAGAATGTAAATCATCCATTTTTTTTCGAATAGTTACTATTTTCCCAGAAATCTTCTCCGAAGAGTAAAAAAAAAAAAATGCAAGAAAACATTATTTAATTAGATAATTTTTTAATTGCTTTTATAAATAATATATATTAAGGACTTTGAAGTCTTAAGAAAACTCTTTTCTTACGATGAATAATAAATTTTTACAAGAATTGTTTTCATTTTAATTATAATTTCAAATATTTTTACATTCAGCAAAACATTGGTCGCGTTAGCTTATTAAGGTGGAAACTATATTAATTAATCAAAAATTGAAAAGCTTAATAAAAATCTCCACGCACTAAGATTTTAAAAATCATTTTTTATATGTGCAAACGTGCCTATACATGATATTATTATTAATAATAATTTCTGTGTTATTCGAAACAAAGTAAATAATATTTGTCAAATTAAATTAATTATACTTTAAATCACTTTAAAATTCCTCAAATAAAGTTTCAAAAAAGTATATTTTATTTTTGGAAGATTTTTAATACAGAGAATTATATTGCACTGAAAGACAACTAAAAAGGGCGATAATAAGCTAGTTTAGCAAAAAATTAAAAATAAATCGATTCCAATTAAAATAATTACTGTTTGAAATACACTACAGTGTATTTTGCTTACTGGAAATAGTAAATTT